AACAGCTTTACAAGAAACCAAATTAATAGTTTGCTGCTCCCAAACTGGGAACATTCCCATCTCTGTCCTAAATACTCCCATCACTTGCCGTGAGCCAGCTCTGGCACTGGTCTGGCTGTATGGTAAACCAGCTCAGCACCCCAAAACGACTGAAAATCAAGCTTGAAAGAAGAAAGAGGCTTTTTTTTTGCTGGGTTAGGAACCTGCTTACCTTCTGGAGCACGGTGTGGCAAGGGGGAAGCAAGACCCTCCTCTCCAGGTGTCAGCCACTCCCAGTAACCCAACTCAACCCACCACCACCTGCAACCTTCACCTACCTGATCACAGCCCAGGCAGAAGAGGGCTGCCTGGGAGGACCTCCTTCCTTCATCACACCACCCTCCTCCTCTCCCAGCCCTGGACGGCATTGCTGCCTCAAGATTTAGGCAGAAAATTGAGCCCCAAGAGAGTACCCAGCAGACAGCCAGATTCCTCTTTGCTCAGAGTGCCAGCGTTTCACAGACAATAAAAGCTGATAAAATCTCACCACTGTGGCTCATCGCAGGATTCCTGAACTGACCATGACTTGGAAAATCCCTCACCAATGTTTTGTCTACCTTGGCAGCTGTACTGCTCCCTGTCTGGAAACTGAGCAAAGATTTCCCAAGCCTGAGTTACAGCTGTAAGAGTATCCCACTCCTCCTTCTAACATGAACAGCACTCTGTGTTAGAGCCACAGAAATACCCCTTTTCCCTTTCTATTATTTTTGTGGCATTTAAATTTATTTAAGAGCAATCACATTTCTCATCTCCACATTGTAAATTAATTTCTCATAACTCAAACCACCCTGGTCAGATAAACCTTTCTCTATTCACCCCGTATACAACTGAGCAGCAGCCAAGGACAGTTGACTTAGCTGAATAATATGCACTGGTGCTAAATGAAAATTAAACTATAAATATTTTAAAGTACCTGATTTCCTGGATAGTAAAAGTGAAAGGTATCATTTGTTTAAACTATCCTATTCATTATTTCTTTCCTCGTTCCACGAAACCCAACCACTAACGAGAACCTACATAAATAGAGCTTCAACTTTCATCTTGAGAAGTTTAATCAGAAAGCTCTTCAGGAATATTTTATTCCTTTTATCAGAATATTGATGGAAGTCATAATTCACTTTAATGTGAGAAAGTTTCCTTTCTTCAGTAAAGAAATTCATCACAACATTTCTTGTTGGTAAGATCTGACATAAATCTGCTTGCTTTTTCCTCTATTTGATCTCAGCTCTTTATGAATTTTTGATTGCCTGCTCTTCATTTTCCACAAGAAAATTCAATTAAAGAAATTAAAAAACAGTAGTTCAACCCTGATTACCTCATCAGCAAATGGCTCTTTTATTGCACAATGGGATGACACATGCCTCGCTCTCCTGGTGCTCGTAGAGCCCTTATAAAACTGGGTCAGGAGAAACCTTTCCCTCTTTATTGGTACTATGGGGGAACAGCGTATCAACTACTCGAGTCAATTCCACCAGGCACTTCCCCTGTCCAGGCAACCATCCAAGGGTCATTGTGAATGAAAAACATTCCTTGGGAAAAAAAAAAGCGTGGAAGTCACTGTGTGCATTTCAAATCCATCGCGTGTGAAAGGGTGCAGTCCCATTTTACAGCACCAAGATGACAGACCGAGGCACGATTGTGCTGGAAAAGCAATTCGGCGCAGTCCTGAGCCAGGGGGGAGGTGGCAGTTCACTATTTCCTAACTTTGTTTCCGGTACCACCTCGCTGCAAACGAAGTTGAGCAAGTGCATGCCACGTTGCAAGGACTGGATGATGACAAGACACCTCTGGCAACAAGCTGATTATTTAGCACCCAGCGTTTCAGGATGCAAACAACCAGTGTTAACTGGGACTGCAGCCTCTATGTTACGCTGATATCACGAGCTGACAGCTGGAGCGGATCAGCCATGGACAGGTTTTAAGAACAGTGATGTTCCACAAACATCTTTAGCTAGATTAATTTGCATCCACAAACTTTCTGCTTTGGTTCACTCATTAGTAACCCGATGGAGCAAGATGCACCATAAGCACTTAGGACACATAAGCATCCTGTAAGAGAATCCCTTTAGACAATTCCCCAAACGAAACCCACTGTTTAAAGAACTTCAAGAATTTCGAATTCATGTTAATACCCTGTGAATTTAAAAATATTCAAATAAGCTGCCCTTAGTATCATTAGTAAAAAGCCTTATAAAAAAAAAAATTGTATAAATATTTTAAAGAGGTTTTTCTTAATTGTGAGATAAAGATGACGTGCACAATAGCTAAAGCAAAGAGTAACTGCTCATCTTAAGCGCCTGGAGTGAAGCAAAGCTGCACTCTGCCACAGAAGACACACGTGTGAGCCATGATTTCATGCCCTCAAGGATGAGTTACCTAACTCAAAAGATTTCAGTACTGATATGACCATCAAGAGACTCAAGACACGATTTTCTCCTCTAAGGTAACTTCATGAAAGAGCATCTTCAGAGCAGACAGCTAAATGGACATTTCAGAAGAGAATTTATTAACATTTGCAGTACAGCCAGAGCTGCAGTCCATTAGGCCTAAACACCATCAGGTGCACCTAATGAATACTAAATCTGTGGGACAAGGATCATCACAGCATAGCTAAACATTAGAGCATTTTAAAGCACGATGACTGCAAACCAAACTGCAGAGAAGCAGGTTTAGTAACTGAGTTGACATTAGGCCTTTGACAGTTTTCCCTAAAAAGCTCACAAAAAGAATTCTTGTTATTAGCTGTGCGCATTCCTCCTCCAGCAAAAGTCAACAGGGTTTTAAAAGTGTGGGTTTGTTGGAAGGAACAGCTCAAAAGCTGGAAAGCTAATAAATTTCTCTCCCTACAGACAGTCTTTTCACAAGGACACGCAGTTCGAGGGAGGGAGGGCAGGAAAATGCAAGGTATTTCCACCAACATATAGTCTTAAAGAGAACACCATTCTTCAGTCAGAAAGCCTGGAAGAAAAACGTGTGGATTGGTTTGACTCAACCAGCTGAACTGTGCCTCAAGAGCTCTGGAAGACATCCAAGACAGAACAAGATAACACATCTATGGACTCCAGAAATCAACAAAATACACCTTATTTTTACTAATTTAGGTCAATGTTAATGTTCTACATTTTTAAGCAGCATTCTAGCTATTATAGTCAGCCAAGTGGCTAAAAATGTAACGTCTGCCTTGATGGCCTAATTCACGGGATGGGTCGAAGAGAAAATGATGTTTGAGATTCAACTTTTAATGTACCACCATACTTGTGTGCAGCTGGGAGCTTCAGGACCTCCTCCAGAGCTCTGTGTAACAACTGAAAGGACACACAAGTGCTCTGCCAAGTGTGAACATGCTATTCTCTACTGTCAAAATCACTTCATGAACGTTGTTTAAGAAGAAAGCTACTGAACTTCTTGGGTGTGAAAACTCTAGCCACCTCCTCTCCAATTCCAACATTTAACCATCCTAAAGGAGCTTTGCAAAGTTACCTTGCCCTTTGGATCCTGACCACAGCACTGTCGTGCTTGAATGCGGGTACGTTCAGATAAGAGTTTCAAGGATCTTCCACCAGAATCATTAATTGTACAACTTAAGTAAAAAAATTACTTGCTAAAGGACTTATTATTTCCTACAGCTTAAAAGATTTGATTTAAGCCTTGGTATCTACCCTACGTACCATTTAACAGATGCATAAACCAAAACTCCATACATTCCCCGCACAGAATGAATCCAGTCAGTGACAGAAAAGATGGTTTTGAACTGGTTACCCAATCCCAAGCACAAGCAAGATCTTTATCGTAAGGTACCATATAAAAGCAGTGAAACAGTTAAGATAAAAAACACAAGCTTATTATTTGTCATTTATTTTAAAAACCTTATTCAAAATATTAAGTGATACAAGTCCAAATACAATAAAAATTACTGCAAGAAAAGAGTTTTGGGATATTTTGTTTGTGCTTTACTGCTCGTGGTTATGAAAAGAACGAATTTAACAGTAAGATTTAGAACTTTTAGCACTTCCTTTGTAAGGTAGTATCATGCCTTCAGACTCCTCATGCCAACAGCTGTAAAGTTGATTTTTTTCAAAATGCTACATGAGTACTTGAATACCAAGTCATTAATTATGGGGTTCTGATCCACCATTATTTACATATTTATCAGTTTGAAAACTAAATCACAAACAGAATGTACAGAAAACTAAGATTTTATATTTTACAACTCATGAAAACATAAATAACGAAAGTACAAAAGACAAGGTAAAAAAAAAACTACTGTACCAGTAACTTGATTTACACTAATGGGTAAATGTTTGCCAAAAGTTAGAGTGCGCTGTCTGACTGGCAGCTCTACACACCATGACTTTCACCTGCCTGTTACCTGGGTCAGAATAACAACAAAATAAATTCTTCTTACATTTTCAGGCCTCTCCCATTTATAGTACAGCAAAACACCTAGCTGTTTTGGCAAGATTATTCAATAAGGCTTATTTTCCATTCATTAATTAAAAGGTAATGAAATTGTCATAAATACCATTAGAGAAAAAAACTGGACAGTCAAGAAGCTGCATATCTTCGCAAGAAATTTATGGTAACTTGTGATATAAAACGGTTTACCCATAATTATTTTTAAATTATTTACTGCATGAACACACACTGAAGTCATGAAATTGCTATGCTAGCTCTTCTGCCTGAAATAGGATCAAATTATGCAACAAGAAAACAGAACCAAAAAAAAAAAACCCAAGATGAAAGAGTTGCAGCATCAGGATTTAAGCACAGAAAAAAGTAATTATATTTTAAGTTTGCAATATAGTTGGATTTATGAGCCATATCAGTGATTAGCAAAGAGATCGTTAATTTGATTTAGTGATGCCAAAGTCATTAATTTATTAGACCTAAAATATTTTATGCTTATTTTTTGTATTACCACTATTAAGACTGCTCCAGACAGAGGGGATGATGCTTAATGAATGGAAAGAGCACTAATTATTAAACTCTGTATCTTTATAGTTGATATAAAACCTGACCAAAGTAGCAAACAGATGTATCATGCCCTTGATCTTGCATGAGATTTCATCTCAAAAACACCCAGGTCAAAGAGAGTACATCTCATTTCAGTACAAGCAGCATGTTTGGAATACCTGAACATCGTTACATGACTAGGCAGGCAAAGAGTGATAAGTTCAGCAAACTCAAATCACAGTGCTTTCAAAATACATAGTCATTAGTTATTTTCAGGGAAGGCATTGCTTCATTAACATTTTGATCTAAACGATGATATTCTACTGTCCTGGAGCACAGGCCATCCCTCCATCTTCGGCTCTGAACCAACAAGAAGATCTGAAAGAAAGAGCAGCCAGCTTACATAGTGCTGTGGAGAAACATTTTGGTTTTGATAGACAGCTTAACAGTTCTACTGACATCACAGTTCTACCTCTTCATCCTGGCAACGCCATCACTGTTGCTGTAAAACGTGGCACTAGTTGTCAGCCGCTTCCATGCCATCCAACCTCAGCCACAGTTGGGCAAAAACATGGCATTCAACCCATAACTCTTTCAGTAAATAGATGTGTGTGGCTTCAGAAGTACTGCAAATACAGGCTGCTAAACGATCCCCAGCTGGTGACATTTGTTAGGTTATTCATCTTACCTATTCTGGCATTTCACCCTTGTTAAAAATAATTGTATTGCTGGTGCAGAAACAAAGGCAACAGGAGCAGCGACGGTGCAATTTGATCAACTGTTTCTGCATCACAGCTCAGTGACTCCCTCAGCAGGATCAGCAGAGCAGTTAAAGAGGCTACAGGATAAATCAAAGCACTCAAATCAAAGTGATCGGATTTTTAAATGTCCATTATCTTCACTCTATTCAGCCTTGCTTCTTACCAACATCATTTAAGAATCCTGGAGAGGGACTTTTTCCAAGGGCATGTAGTGATAGGACAAGGGGTAATGGCTTTAAACTGAAAGAGGGCAGATTTAGATGGGATATAAGGAAGAAATTCTTCCCTCTGAGGGTGGTGAGGCACTGGAACAGGTTGCCCAGAGAAGTTGTGGCTGCCCCATCCCTGGAAGTGTTCAAGGCCAGGTTGGATGAGGCTTTGGACAACCTGGTGTAGTGGAGGGTTTCCCTGCCCATGGCAGGGGGGCTGGAACTAGATGATCTTGAAGGTCCCTTCCAACCCAAACCGTTCTGTGATTCTATAATCCACTTTACTAGACAAGGCAACTATACTGGCAGAAGGGGAAATGGGATGGTGTGAGCGGGCACAGGTAAAGAAAATGGAGAACCTAAAGCAATCTGACTGTTGTCTCACAGAAATACATACCACTATCTAGGTACTTCAAGTATTAGTATATTTTCTATCCCCAAAATCATTTCTAGGGCTAAAAAGTAATATCAACAGATAGCTTTCCAATTACCCAAACGGTACTATCAGCATTATTTCACTTATGGAGCAAAGACAAGGCATTTTTTTATCACATATTTGAGCTTCCCTCAAAGTCAAATCTTCAAATGTAACATAAACAGTCTTCAACGTTTTTCCCTATAAAGACTTGGCAATGCACATTCCAGATACGTCACTGCACTGTAAAGCAGAAGGTTTCAGGGCTTTTTTTAAGCTGTGTTCTTTTCAGAGTCCCCCAAATCCTGGACCAGATCAGTGTTGTCTCTACAAGGATAAACACTAAATTTTCCTCCTGTTTAAAAACTAACCTGTGATGTAATTGAAAATTTGTGCGTGTGTCTGCACTGAGTCTGGCTGGGCTCGAGTTAGCTTTCTATGCTAGCAATAGATTTTGAAATAACACTCATCAGGATACTTTTGAGATACAAAGAATTCGTTTGTTCTGAAGAAACAGTTCATTGAAAACACTAACTTTGAGCTTCTCTGTGTAACACTGGGAAGAGCATTAAACATTTCCTAAAAGTTTGTACTTCAGCCCTCAGAATATCTACGATACAAAGACCACCTTGAAGCAAATTCTTATTGCGAGGATTATTACAGCTACAACATTTCCCCACCATTTGGGATTAAACTTCCCTAAATTTGCTGTTTATGATCCTGTGCAGAAGCAAAACTAGTTAATCAATCACCTTTGCTCGACTTGGCTCAGGTGTCATTTGTAGAACTCGTGTTGTACACTGCCAGTGTCCATTACTGAACCGATTGATTACTGATGTTATCGATTAACTCGGTTTTCTAATCTAAAATGTTTGACTCAAGTTCATTTTCACTGTGCAGATAAAAATGACAGCAATGATCTGCGTATCAGTATCACAACACCACTAAGTGGTGGAAGACTTCATTCTCCAAAAAGCTGTTTCTCTGATTAAAAAAAGCACACACGCAACGCAACTTCGGTGTAAATCAAGCTGCTTCTCTCAACCTTTCACAGCACACCTACCTTCCTCTTGTTGTGATAGGTGACATAAACAACAGCGACCAAGAAGGCAACTACTATCAGATGAAAAAAGAAATGGCTGTCTTCTTCTTCTTCTTCTAACCCTGTGACAGAAACATCTTTTATCTTCTCATCAAGGGACTTGATCTCCTCATTGTAATTACTAATGGTGTCAGAGTCGTCGTCTTCTGGCATCTCTAGGTCTGGGTTGTATCGGGAATTCGACGTCATTTCATAAGTGCCATAGTCATCTCCTCCATCTGACTCCACAGTTTCTTTTATGACAGATGGTGAACTATTTAGTGTGTCTTTCAGATCTGTCAGAAGATCCTCTTCCTCAATTTTAGTATCTTCAGAAGCATCGACATTCATTTGAGATACAGGACTAGCAGTCACCACTCGAGAGGGAACATAGGGTGGAGAATCACCTTCTGCTGTAGGTGGTTTTACTGCAGTCACCAAATTTATTTTAGCTGTTGTTGGGAACGCCTCTTTTTTTGTCGGGCCTGCCTCTTTTTTTGCTGGGGTTATACTCTGCAAGCTGTCTGTCAAATTTTGGGATCTGTTTAGTGTTTCGTTCTCACTTTTAGAAGAAATATTTTTTTGAAGCATCTCCCCGTTCTCAGAACCTAAGAAAAGATGAAAAACAGTCAATATTAACCACAAGGCACTAACTTCTCTTGTGATACTTCAGCAATAAATGAGAATTATTGCAAGGCATTTACTTTATAGACAAGAAATTGTAGGATGAACAGAGCGTATTTCACACGGCAAACTTTTTATAATTCACAGAAATTCATGCACCCGTCCTTTGGCAACTTCAAAAGAGAAGCCTTGAATGAGATAGGAATTACAGCTTGGAAGCACATGCTTTCTAGATTAATACGCCAAAGTGTTCTTCAAAAATTTAGCATGCATATCTTCCATACATGGAACTTCAGAGACATGCCCTCCACCCCTTTGTGGATTTATGATGTCTTGTAGAATCATACATGATCAGTATTTTCTCCATCATCACTCTTCCTCTCACAGAATTTGCTGAGGTCTACAAAAGAATTTCTCCCTAAAGCTTTTCCTGCAGTTAGAAGTTTTTCAATCTTCTACCATTGCACATTTTGCCAACAAAAAACAGGAACACTCTGCAACGTCTCCTTCAGTCAGAACACAAGGTCCCAGCATCTCTTCCCAGGCACTTACTTTCACTGAATTTGTAGAAACAGAGAAAGATTTCCAATCTTATGTTAACTCAAATGAAACTCCTGAACCACAGCTTAAATAACAAAGCTGAAGAAAGGACAATCTGACTCCACATGCTCCTGTAGGAAAGCCTTTTTTCTGAAGAAAGTCACCAACACTGCTACTAACAGTGCACTCTCAGGCAAATTCATAATCTCTCCAGTGTCAGGATAGCTTTGCAGAACTATGCAAAAAACAAGGTGAACATGAAAACCACACGCAGGGCCCATCATCCCTCTTCTCTATCCAAAGGAAGGTAAAAAAAGATGCACTTTCTAAGTAGCCAATGGTTTTTTAATCCTAAAAAGCAGCAAAGAGCAAACTATTCATGTTTACATGTCGCCTCCAGATTCACATCAGAAAGCACCTTAAAAATCAAGAACACATTTTAGACTTCCAGTACACATCATAATTTAAACAGTGGAACCATACTTGCCTTGTATTTCGGCATGCCAAACTAGTTTTTTAATTTTTTATTTTTTAGAAAGTAACAATACTTTCATTAAGTGCTTCCAAGGAGCTCCGTGGTTCACTGGAAAGTTACAGATTTTAGAAACGAAGCCTTCAACCAACCGCTTGTGTCAAATTACTCACAAGTAAAATACTATAGAGGGGACACTGAATCATGTTATTCATGAAACATGTACATTTTCAGAGGAGCAGTTACAACAGACTTCTCCTTGTTCACATGGTACACTTTTCCAGCACGAATTGCTCCTTAACCAGCTGAAATGGAGAAGACTCAACTAACCCCACACGAACTAGACATTGCAGTACCTCTCTGCTAAAGTTTCAAGTCAATAACTTTACATTTAACACACTCACCATTGCTGAAGAAAATACTAGTTTGAATTATTGTATCAACATTAACTTATAGAATCATAGAATGGTTTGGGTTGGAAGGGACCTCAAAGACCACCTAGTTCCAACCCCCCTGCCATGGGCAGGGACACCCTCCACTACACCAGGTTGCCCAAAGCCTCGTCCAGCCTGGCCTTGAACACTTCCAGGGATAGGGCAGCCACAACTTCTCTGGGCAACCTATTCCAGTGCCTCATCACCCTCGGAGTGAAAAATTTCTTCCTTAGATCTGATCTAAATCTGCCCTCTTTCAGTTTAAAGCCATTTCCCCATGTCCTGTCACTACACACCCTTGTAAAAAGTCCCTCTCCAGCTTTCCTGCAGGCCCCCTTTTAGTACTGGAAGGCTGCTGGAAGGTCTCCCCGGAGCCTTCTCTTGTCCAGGCTGAAGAGCCCCAACTCTCTCAGTCTGTCTCCACAGCAGAGGTGCTCCAGCCCTCGGATCATCTCCGTGGCCGCCTCTGGACTCGGTCCAACAGCTCCATGTCTTTCTTGTGCTGGGGACTCCAGAGCTGAACGCAGTATTCCAGGTGGGGTCTCACACGAGCAGAGTAGAGGAGCAGGATCACCTTGTACAGGACAAGTTTAGACAATTCTTATCTTCCCCTCAGGAGTCAAGCCAGCTAATTGCATACATGGAGATAAATGAGGAAAGGCAGCTGCAAGACAGTTTCATATTTATAGCTAGCCGGCGTGTTACGAGTGAGGCAGGCAGACCTTACTGCCACCTTCATCAAACAGATGACAAGTATTAGAGAGTAACAGCTACACTGAAATACAAACACGCATATTGTTCCTACAGAACTACATTGCATGTATCCTTACACTCCAAATCATTCTTAAACTCGCTTTACCATGAAAAGTTTTGAAGGATACATGTTTAAAAGCAAGGGACTCCCACCAGCCAATGCTGCTTCAGAGCAAGAAGGAATTACTTCCTATTATTCCTAAAAGACGTGATTTTTTTGTTTTAGTAGGAGCAGCAAGCTTAGCAGCTAAACCACAATTGATTTATGATATCCACCCAAAAGTATTCGGCATTATGACGAGTGGTTGCACTGTTTACAGTTACACAACACCGTCAGATGATGTCAGACAGGACTCCAGAGATGCCTCAGCTGCAGAAATAGATATTAATTAATGGTCAATCATAGCGACAGAATTAGCAACACGGTTCCCTTAGCGAGCACTGCACATCTGACAGGGTCAAAACTCACTTCCAGGCAAACTTACGTTTTAAAAAGCGAGTGAGTTATTCCAAGATTTTTGAACTTAGAAAGTCTTGGTTTCCCACAGGTTTCTGTCCCACATCCTAAACCTCTTCCTTCATTCCTGCCTACCCATTAGGCCAGGCAAGGGGTAACACGAATAGCTGGTTTGGATGCACTGGTCGACAAGCAAGACAGGAACTGCCGGCTCAAAACAGCTCCCTTTATTATTTCCTTTAATAATTCCCTTTCTCTTCACTGCTCCACTAATCCTCCATCTAAATCAAAGAGGAATTCACTGTGCTGAAAACGTATATTTCTCATCGGCATTTGGTCACAGCCGGTCCGTGGGCTGAAGGGAAGTCGGAGAAAGGAAACGGATTTAAATCGGAGTCGATTGCAGAATAACAAAAGTTCATTTTCGGAGTGGGGAGGGGGGGGAGGAAGAGACTAAATAAAACGGGCGCCCAGCTGGAACGATCGGCTCGAAACATAAACCGTGATGGACGAACCGGTCAGCTGAAC